CTATTTTGTCAAATATAGTAAAAAAAATAACATTCTTAGCAGTCAGTTTTAAACAATTTAATTTCTGGAAGTCCTCTAATGACCCAACATTTGGAGTTTTAGGACCCACAGTGGGTTCTCAACCCCAGCTTGCCGTAGATGAAACCTTAAAGTGCATTTGACATCAAATTTTTGTAAGAAATATGAATGAATTTTTGAAAAGGCAACATTATTAACATTAGAAAACGAATTTCACATTGCTCAGATGAACAGTTGTTGAGATATTTGCATGTGATGTGGTGTCAAAAGGGAACAATAAATTAATGTTACCGATTATTTTAATATTTGATATGAATTACAGTCATCCTACTTACAATGTGTTAACCTTTTTAAGACGTCTGAAGATTGATTTAAGACCTTTTAAGGCTAATTAAGGCCTTATTTTTGAAATGATGAATCCAAGGCCTTTTAAGACTTTGTAAGGATCCGCGGGAACCCTGTTTAATACATCTGTGACACAACTTGAACCTTACAGTTCAGTTTTATCATCTCACATCCACGGTGAGACCAAAGCAAGCAGTCAGGRCGACATATTCATAAAGAAAATGAACTTACTGCATCATCTGAACCATATAGAACTGGGTAACTTCATCTAAACTTCATTTTTCTATTGCCTCTATCAGTCTTTTTTTAAAGTAAAAACAAAGGRAGTCTTTTTCAGGAAGTGAAGATGGCAACTACAACAGAAGTCTGGTGCCTGCTAATGTGGTTAAAAGTGACAAAACAACCCACTATCTCAGTTGTTACCGGTAATGTGAGCAACGGACCGTGACGTCTCCCGTTTACATAAAAGCTGCCTTGCCATACATGGCTCACAGAGCAGCAAACCCAAAAAATGCCTATTTGAATAAGGAAACAAATGGATAAAAATAAATACAAATAAACGGAAAAGAAAACAAAACTTTAAGGTGGAGCGGTTCAAGGATGTTTGAAAGTAGGAAGTGTTAAACTGATAATTGGATGTTCATAAAACCAAGAGCAGCCYGTCTTTTTTATGTATTTATTTTAAAAAAAGCTCTTTAAATATACTTTTTAAGTGGATCTACACACCTGATGAAGACTTGGCTCTGTGGTGTTTGCTGCAAACCTCCTGGCTGTGTTCTGATGTGGGGGCCAGGCGGTCCGAGGCCAGCGCCGGACCGTCCCGCCTCACCCTCAGCTGCAGGGTTTGTTCAGCAAACAGAGTCTGGATCAAARCCAGGTCCAGACTGGACACATGTTGGCCATTCAGCACCAGGATCTCATCACTTGGACGCAGACCTGAATACRTACACACACACAGACAGACAGAGGAACGTATCAGAGGAGATCTGCACACAGCACTGATGTGTGGTCATGTGTTTAGGGGTCAGAATTAAGCAGCGAGTACCCTCATTAAAGGCCAGTCCTTCAGGGAGAACTTCACTGACAAATATCCTGCTGTTCTTCTGGCTGTCGACGTGTCCCGTTACTGCAAAACCTGTTMAAATCATTTCAGAAAGACGTTTGTTTTTCTTTTTATTTACAGTCTCATATTGCACATAAAACATCCCAACCTCGTGCGCTTCACTCACCAAAGTCGGCGACGTCACCGGTTCTCCTCATGTGCAGCGTAAACACGTTAGCTGGAACCACCTCCAGCTGATCAGCGACCTGCAGGGCGAAGTGAAACGGATCAACACACCATTAAAAAAAAAAAAAAGAGATAAACGAAGAGCAGCGGAGGCTCGTTAGTTCTCACCACGTCACGGAGGAGCTCGCCGGGAGCCACGTGCCGGACCTCCACGTCACGGCCCGCCTGCCTCTGCAGCCGCAGGCGGTGCGAGCCCGGGTCCAGCTGTTTCACCTGTTTACACAAGAGCCCCCTTTAATGCTCAGAGGCCCGTACGCACAAAATGATACGACATTTTTCATGCACCGGTGCCTGGAAGCAGCTGCGCAGGCGAGGTGTGAATTATTTATCGACTTTACACACGGCGGGGAGAAACAAAAACGCATCGCCGTCAGGGATCGCGTGCACGTAGTGCGTGTGTGCACGTGTCGGTTTATACGTAGCCATTCATGGGGGACATTAAGAAGTCAGGCATTAAATGACTTATTTAAGCTATATATACACTGCAACCAAGTCTATTCCCGAAGATGCTTGGGAAAATAAATGTTTTAAATTCATAGTCTGCTCTCAAAGGACRATACATTTCTGTTCCTTTTATTTAACCGACAGAAAACGTCTCTCACTGTGGTGAAATGTCATTTCTCTGAAATCCAACCTTGCAAGCTGCACAGAGAAGGTCGGCGGCTGTCTGGTCTCTCCTGACAGGGACTTGGACGGTCAGGCCGTCTGGCATGTAAACACACATCAGCTCATCAGAGTTGCCGCTGACGCTTCTCCAAATACCCCCATCAGGGGGCGACATGGAGTAGATGCTGGTCAGGACATTGAGCCGCTGTAAGAAGAGGGGTGGGGGGAAAAAAAGGAGGGGTGAATTGTAGTGGGACGTTGGAGCGGGAGGGGATTAGAGGAAAGAAAAGACAGATACAGATGGGATAAAAGAGGTAAACAAGCGGGAGTGAGAGCTGAGCATCACAACAMATAAATCAATACAGTTCCATTAGTCTAAACGCTTTGCTCTGGATCAAGCGGYGGAGCAAAGATGTCACACAATTAGCCTCTCCGAAATCCGTTCGACAACACAGACTGCTCCACGTTATCCCCCACCCCACCCCATAATGACCGCGCACACGAGATGATTGGCGAGGGCCAGCTGGCTGGTCTAGACGTCCAGACAGAATCTCCAGAGTTATTCGGGAGGTTTATTTTATTGCATGTACAGGGACGATTTGTTTCCAAACATTCGGGACGTAATTACACGTTGAATTATCCGTGGCATTAGCTGCAAAGTTTGGGGCTCATATTAAGGTGGGGGGGCGACCCACCGTTTAGCCTCACAGGCAGCCATTTGGGGCTTTTGGTTGAGACTTTGTGTCTCTAGAGGGGAAATCGCCACCGTGCAGCTCAAAACCACAATTATTACAGCAGCCACAGAACTTAAGGAAAGGCTCCGTCACACCAAATGCACTGACAACTTAAACTGAGACATGGGACCGAGTGGGATAATTGGAAAGGYTTTATATGCGTTACACGACTATAAAATGGAGTGCCTGAAATTTTCTATCTGATATGTAGGAGTTATTTTATTTATTTATTTTTGTTTATGTCACAAGCTGGTTGCCTGTTTTTTGATGAATCACCTTCTGAGGAAAAAAGGCCTTTTTTCTCCTGCCAGACAAACAGCCCAAACGGACAAGCAGAAGTCTCTGATTCAGAGCTTTGCTTAGCTCCACAAACACAAGCGACCACGCAAACATTTGTCTCATTTTTCCCCCGTTTTAATGACTAAATTTGACCGTACTGAAACGAGGCGTGAGGACAAGCTTGCAAACCGACGACGCGGCAGCAGGTTTGTATCACAGCCTCTTCTGTGTCCCGGCATCAGCGTAAACAGAAAAATCGAAAAACAGAATTTCCTGCACTGACCAAGGTTTGACCAACACTGTACACTCATTCATGGCCCAACGGTTTCCCGGTCAACGTTCCGTGTCCGGCTGCCAAGTGTCCAGCGCAGGCACGTGCCAGAGTTTWAAAAAAAAAGGCAACTCTGTGCGGCGAGTACGCGTGCGCTGTTTTTTTTCAAAAAGCTCACAAATTCAGAGTTTCCCTTTCAGGGTGGAAATTATTTCCTAGTCAGGCTTTCTCCACCCGAAAGCTTCTAAACTTGGAGTAACGGACACTGCCCCAAAACACCCTCTCTACTACCCATAGCAACACAAATATTACAGCACTACCCTGAATAGATACACGGACCGCAAAAGAAGCGGCTAACACTGTCATTTCCTTCTCKTTGCATCTATTAAAAGAGTATTACTCTTCATTTCCTCAAAGCTCCACCAAAAGCTCTTTGTACTCCTGTAACTATTTTCTACCATTTCCACGTGGAAATAAGGTGACACCAGTGACCACCCAGACAGATGTAAAGCAGTGAGTGTGTTCTCTTAATAAAGTGTGTGGACAGATGAAGAGGATCAGTATTTTATAGATGAAAGGGTGCTGGTCAAGAACTAAGACAGTTGTTTAAAAAAAATGTTGCATTTCATTCTGCTGTTTATGTAAAAACAGAGTAATAAAATTAGATGTCAGTGGTTCATGAGATATTTCTACAGTTGATTAACAGACTCGACTCCAACGGTTATTGCTTTAAAATAAAACCACTATAAACCAAGGCTATTCAACTGGCRGCCTGTGGGCCAAATCCGGCCCGCGAATGACCAAAGTTCGGCCCACCAATTGGTTCATTCATCTCTTAAGCCCAAACCCCTGGTTTTCTACTTTAATTCTTCTAAGTTCTTTTAGCTAGATATAAGCATGTTTGGTATCTACAGAAATGTCAGAACCTTGGATACAAACTGGTAAAACCATTTCTCTGCACACTCAACACAGTTACAACTACAAGCAATTGAAGATAGAACTATGAAAGTGAAAATAAAATTGGTTGAAAAATTTGGCAAGTCAGAGATGTCAAAATAATATCTGTGCCAAATAGGAGGCATAATGTGTTTTTTGTTTTTGATAATGTGTAATTATCACTACTTTTATAGGGTTCTGTATGTCTTATTCATGATTAAATGCAGCAAAATAAACTATTTCAAAGATAGCATATCTTTGTATTACTTAGTTTATTTACATAATAACTTTAATTGCTGGATGTTTGGCCCCTCAGCTGTTGACCTGCAGTAACTGTGGCCCCCGGAGCAATTTAGTTGAATAGCCCTGCTATAAACACTGTTTTTTTCTCATTTTTGTTTAGTCTTAATTTTACTTGTACCTTTACTTTAAGGGTCATGTTTTGCCCTATGACAGGCATTGCTATCAATCTCATTGCACCTGTGTGTGATGACAATAAAAGGCATTCATTCATTCATTTGATTCATCCCTCTCAGGTATAATGACACCAATTTTCTTTTCTTTTTTTAAACTATAGTAAAGAAGAAAAAGAAAAAGTAGAAAAGAAATATAAGAACTGTAAAGAGAGAAACCGCTAGAAATTATACATGTGAAATGAACACCAATAACACACAGGACAGGACACCACACCCGACATCTGACCATCAACAAATGAAGACAACAAACACCCAGCAACCAAACTTAAACAGATGTATGTACATATACCCATACGCACATACAGTATATAAACATATACACACACATACACATCCACACCTACGTACAATAATTATACCTCATTACTTAATATACACAAAACACACACACCCATGCACACAACCAGGCACATACACACACACAGACAGACAGAGGAACGTATCAGAGGAGATCTGCACACAGCACTGATGTGTGGTCATGTGTTTAGGGGTCAGAATTAAGCAGCGAGTACCCTCATTAAAGGCCAGTCCTTCAGGGAGAACTTCACTGACAAATATCCTGCTGTTCTTCTGGCTGTCGACGTGTCCCGTTACTGCAAAACCTGTTCAAATCATTTCAGAAAGACGTTTGTTTTTCTTTTTATTTACAGTCTCATATTGCACATAAAACATCCCAACCTCGTGCGCTTCACTCACCAAAGTCGGCGACGTCACCGGTTCTCCTCATGTGCAGCGTAAACACGTTAGCTGGAACCACCTCCAGCTGATCAGCGACCTGCAGGGCGAAGTGAAACGGATCAACACACCATTAAAAAAAAAAAAAAGAGATAAACGAAGAGCAGCGGAGGCTCGTTAGTTCTCACCACGTCACGGAGGAGCTCGCCGGGAGCCACGTGCCGGACCTCCACGTCACGGCCCGCCTGCCTCTGCAGCCGCAGGCGGTGCGAGCCCGGGTCCAGCTGTTTCACCTGTTTACACAAGAGCCCCCTTTAATGCTCAGAGGCCCGTACGCACAAAATGATACGNCACATCCACACCTACGTACAATAATTATACCTCATTACTTAATATACACAAAACACACACACCCATGCACACAACCAGGCACATACACACACACACACACACACACACGCACACACACACACATATATATATATATATACAAACATACATACATCCAGTGATTGTCAGAAACCCCAGGATCCAAATGTCTATTTTGGTGCGGTTGTGAACATGCATATAAATACGAGATTTCTCCAGTGGAATATTAATTGGTGACTRTGGAGGACCACAGACCCGACCCCCAAGACCCAAGACAAACATAAGGGGGACCAGAGCCACAGACCCCAAGAGAGACCCCAAGCACAGAGCATCCAAGGTCACCTGCACAGCAAGAACTACCCACCCACCCCCAGAGAGGAGAGCACAGGAGAGAACCAGGAGAGGCCCACCAGCAACCACAGGCCAACTCTTGAGTAATAATTATCTCTGAGACTCAGTTTCAGCTACTATCACACAAACCTTTAGCTCAAAATCCATGAAACTGACTGAGTTGGAGCCATTATTGTCTCCCCTCAGGTTGATTAGTTGCGGCGGCCATCTTAAATCAGGTCGACTCTAAAGGTTAATCAGCCGTAGACGTCAACCATGTGATTACTTTCCGAAGATTTCACCCCATTCTGTTCAGTAATTTGAGATATTTTGCTCAGTATGTAGACACACAAACACTCACACACAAACATTATTTCCTTCAGCGATAAAAAAACAATATAATTGTGAAAAACGCTCCCAATAAACAGCAAGAGTTCAAACTTTTGTGCTGTTTAGTTGAGCGTGTTGCCTTTTTCTATGCAGTCAAAACATCTCAGCCTGCTCGAGAGCTGACAGGAGTGGGTGGACGAAGAGTTTATGGAGYAAAACTCTCCCAGTCAGTCTGAACTTTTACATAAGGCAAGTCTGCTGCAGCACTGACAGCTCCATCATGTACAGATCCATTCTGTGTCAGAGGAACCTCAGGCTGGAGCTGCCTGCTCGTACAGAGGGAGCTCTCAGAARTGGAGCTTGGACACACACTAACGTAACCTTAACCTGACTTTCCTGCAAAGGATTAATGAAAGACTACTGCTTATAAGTGTAATCTGGGGGATTTGTGTATCAAGTACAGCAACCAACACAAAGTCATTAAGACAGAAAAAGAAGAACTGTGTCTCTTTTTTTACTGCCTATCCTGAGGAGTCTTAATCCCCACTAAATCAAAGCGAATCCCCATAATGAGCCATTTTCCATGTTTGCATCCAAATCTAAGAGGTTTAAACACAACTGCAGGGAACTCTGAGGCATTTAAATCAACATTAAAGCACAGACCTTAAAAAAGACGCCATTGTTTTCGTAAACCATTTCCTGTTCCAAATCTTTTTCTAGACTCTGAGAGAAATTGTGTTTTTTTTTTTTCGTGACCACAGAGCCTGACTGTGAATCACTACATCCTGTTAAAACGCAATCTTCACTCATTCATCCTGCTGTCTGAAAGTGGCCATGATGCTC